TTTCCCACATTTTCCAGTTTTTCACCCAAAAATTTTCCGTCGAGCGGGGGAGGGGTATATAGAGCACATGAAACAGGAAAAATCACGCAAAAAGTCAACAACCGGAAAATCATTTCTCTCAGAGGCAGCGAACCCTCCCCCTCTTTCCCAAGGACCAAATACGACCCCCCTCCCCGGAGAAAAAGTACGACCCCCATGTGTTTCACACAACGATGCTGTACCCTGCCTCCGACTACACCTGTGCCTAATTTCATGCAAGAGGACTTCCAAATGCCCCAACTTACTGGAAAATTAACAAAGAGGTATGGTAGGTACGTGGGTGCCCTGCTATTTATTAATAAAGAGGTCATAATACTGTAAAGCGGTAAATCCTCAGAATTCTACAGAATATGGCCGGAGTGCTCGCTACGTGCTCATCGGCTTAACCAATCCTGTATCGATTTTTAGTGACGCGCCGCCATCGCGCGCGTCTAAGTAACGCCTTTATAACTGTGATGATTACGTACATTACCCAATACAGTATATCGTTTCAGATTGCGGGTGTAGATTATATATATTTCACGCAGAAGAACTCTCTGGATCGGCGGAAACGGACCTTAGAAATTGAGGCGTCGAATATTTCATTTTCATCGCGAATTGTTGTACGAGAACATTGTAATTATTATGTAAGTATTTACTCAATGTTCTTCTAAAGTTTTATCGATTGAAACCATACGATCTCGCGATTTCACCGCTTGTAATGCATCTATTTTCGCCGTTTTCAAAGGGCTTGTTGGATATTTTGGGAAGATCGATTCCTCAACGGAGATAATTTCTCTCTTGACGCGGCGGCGTGGCATTCTCCCACGATTAGAGTCAGTAGAGCTTAGACATCGAGGAACTGGGAGAGCGCAGACGGCAAGAAACCCAGCGGACTAGAACGGACTTCATCACGCCACTACGTGGCCCCAAGGGGAGCAGGGCCGAAAATCCCCAAGGAATCCCGAGGATTTGGAGGACAATACATATAACCAAAGTTATGGGATGGGAAAACGTAGCGATAACTTTTGGGTGCTGAACTTGCTTAAAAGCAGAGGACACGATTGCTGGAGGCGGACTGTTGTTGCCAGCGTCATTGGTGGAAGGGCTGCGAGAGGGCGTTTGGCCACACCCCACTCAGCCTTCCACCAATGACGTTTGCGACAATCGCCCGCCCCCAGCAGTCGTGCCCAGTGCCCTTAAATAATATTTCTTTGATGGACTTGCATTTTTCTAGGTCCAGCATTTTCTAGGTCCATCCTGAAAATCCAAACTGGACATGTTTTGAGCAGAATGCGGCATTAGACG